AGAGAGAGACGCTTTCTGTGCTCTTTTCGCCGCACAAATGAAGGCGGAATCGTCCCGCCGTCGCTCGTTCGACGAAGCAATCAAAGCTGCCCGTGAGACTGCCGAGGAAATCATCGCGAACCCGCGAGAGACGCATCTCGATATAATTTCGCCGACGAGAGAAGTCCGCCAAGCTGCCATTCGTTTTCATTGCCGCGAGTTCGTCGACATGTCCGCTATCTCTCGTGCGATTGTATTTATTTTCAGGATTATTACAGGCAACTCATTAGCTTAGGATTCATAATTTAACCAGTTTTTACTCGTTTGCAGGAATTTAAACGATTACGCAGCTATTTGCCGTCCGGTCTAATTTTATGCGCGCTATATTATTTTAGTTGTAAAATCCGTAATGGGACTCAACAGCTCCGAGTGTCTCTCCTAACGAATCGACAGGTGTAATTCTTTAAGTATAGCTTAGATAAACCGCGCTTTTTATCTACACGACTGGACGCATCTGCGAGGCGAGAGATCGGGCGCGTGCTAATCTAGCGAAGTGGAAGTCGACCGGGCTTGTTGCATAAATTTTCAAGTTGCGATTCGACCCTTCCACCTGTCGGTGGTGCAGCTGCCGTCCGCCTGTTACTCTGGATTTTGTCCTTACAAAATCCTCCTAACAAGCGCGCAGGTGTCGGTCGCGGAAACTTTAGATCGCACCATTAAATCATGTATTTATAATAAGTGCTGCTTTTAAGATAAAAGAAGCCAAGACCTCTGAAAAGACTCACATCGTTTATTTCCCTTTTTAAATGGGATCCAAAAAAATTATTAAATTCTTTTTATCATTTTTTCACCCTTTGCGATCCGAGTCCGACATAGCGCTTTGCGACAATCCTCTACATAAATCTTCAAACAACGGAATCGCCGCATGATTGCAATTCGCAAACGGTATTTCTCTAGTCTTTCCTCTCTTTTTTTCGAATTATATTTTCTAAAAAAATTTATCCGCTAAAATTAATTCGAGCAGCGAAGATTGGGTTC